ATTTATATCACCACTTCCAGCAATCACTGTTTCAACTTTTGTGTGAAGTAATGAGAATCCTGATTTTAGCTTTTCGATTTTTTCCAATTCCATAAATTTGAAGAAATAATTCGCTCCAATCAAGATGTCAGGTCGTTTCCAGTAATTTTTTAGATTCATTGTGTGATTGGCCATGGGTATTTTGACAACATGTAATTCATTAATTTTTTTTTAATTCACATTTTTTCCGATTACATTTTTTCGATTATATTTTTTTTCGATTACATTCGATTACATTGGCGCGTATTTGGATGGTCTTATCTTCATCGATTTGTACATTAAGTTGAGTCTGAGTGATTATACATGGCTTAGGATTCTTGATGCCGAAAGGAGCTAGTCTTAATTCTTGTTCATCGGCTTCTATTAAGCTCTAATCACTGAACTAGTTTTGATATGAAAGATAACTGTGACCAATGTCAAATAATGTCAAGGCCTCTTCTTTTCGTTCTGGCAATAAGGGTTAAATACAGTTATTTCCTTGCATAATTGCAAAGTTTCCTTACCTTGTGTTTTTGTTATTGCAATCATCGCATTTGAGTCATCATTATCGGATTGTAGTTAATCGAACAACCTTTCGATTTGTTGATTTCTTCATTTGTTTGGCTCCTGTTAAGACAGGAAGTTTTGCTCGGATGTAGTTGATTTCTTTTTCCACGTAATGCACTGCTACGAGTAGCTTTGCACTAAAAACATTTTACCTTTCTTCTGCATTCTTCACTTCGATGTGTCTTTAAACAAATGACACATTTCTTTATTTCCTTGAGACGTTTCATTCGAACGTTCACTGCTGGATATACTCGGCATGCACTGTCCCAATGATCTTGACTACAAAACATACATGTTCTAATTCTATTTTTTCCCTTTTTTGTTACAGAGTAAGAAATTTTCTTCTCGTTGTAAATTGTTGCCAGTGTTGAAGTTTCGTTATACCCTTTTGGAATTTGCTTAGACTTAGACAAAACAGGTTTTCCTTTCATTTGGGTAAATGTGAATTAGTTTCTAACCCCTCCATGTTTCCTAGTATACTTATTAATTGGTCCCAACTTACTTCCTTTTTCCAAAGGATTTGAAGGAATAATTTGATCGGTATTATGCTTGGGATTAGGAATCCTAGGGGATCACATTGAGAAGCTAAAAACTGCAATATTTTTCTTTTTGTTGGTTCCTGATAGTTCCAAGGTTTTAAGATTATTCGAATAATGTCCCTATCAGAGTTCCAATCAATACCAAGAATCTTTTTAAACTCATTTGTTTCTGCTCGGTCCTGTTCTGGAATCATGGAATTAAATTCTTTGTTGTTTGATAAGAATTCTCTGACATTCATTGAGGCATCATTGAAGATGGTTTCATTTCTTATATTTGGAAAAAGCTTCATCGGTTCCCTTGGTAGATATTACAATGTTGTCGACATAGAGGTTTTTCTTGATTTCATCGGCGAGTTTACTTCCGTAATTTTCGAAATGACAATTAAGTGTAGCCGATAATAAAAATGGTGAAAATATTACTCCAAATGGGACTCGTTGAAATCGATAGTATTCGATATTATCTTCCGCTGCTTGTCACCGTATATCCTTTAACCAAAGAAATCGTGTGCATCAAAAAGATGGGAGTAATTCCAATTGTAAAAAGGTCTTTTCAATGTTTGCTATTATCACAGTTTCCATCATTCGGAAACGAAGTAGTACTCCTACTAAGTCGGGAAGAATTATAGGTCCCCGATATAATACATCGTTCAACCCTTTTCCTCCCTTTTGATGCGATGATGCATCATAAACAATTCTAAGTTTGGTTGTAGCCTTATTTGGAGTTATAACTTCATGATGAGGAAGATAATGAATAATACCAACCTGGTCCATTTCTGGACATACTTTCTCGATAACGTTAGACTGTATTTGATCGCGAGTCATTTCGTCGTATTTGAAAAGTAAGCGTTTATTGTTCCGAAGTCATTTAACTAGCCGACTATTGCGTTGATTAAAGAAAACCCTGAACTTATAGTTTGGGTTTTTTCTAACGGGATAAACTTGAAGAAGTGGTCGACTCCGATAATTAACTCAAGTTGTTTTCAACTGCTATTTTCTTCTTTCAATGGGAATTGAGTTGAAATTTCTGACACATCCCTTGATTTATAGATGTTACTCTTAGCTTACTTGTTAAATAGTTGACTACTGTAGCTACTGTAGGTATAATATCTGCTTCAACGGTTTTTATACCAATTCGCACTTTGGCTGCAATGGATTGTTGAGGTCTCCTGTTGCTAAATGTTGCAAACTTCACTTGTTCGTAATCAATATCTTCTAGGTTTAGTCTCTTTGCTAGTTTCTTTGATATGCAAGTTACTTGAGCACAACTACCGAATAAAACTACGACTTTATTTGAAGCCTCTTGCATATCTAAATTAATTGCCTCAACTTCTTCGCAAAAAAGCAAAGTTTCCCTGTCATTTCGTCTGGAATGTTATTACTGAGTTGATTACCATTGTCGAATTTGTCAATTCTTTGGTTAGTCCGACTGATTATGCTCGATCATTATATTTAATGTAGTATAACGCGGTATTATGATGACCTTTGCAATGAAAACACAAGCGTTTTTTTTCCTTACAATTGATTGTCGCATATCCTGGTCGAAGACAACTTGGACGGGCGTTGTTTTCTTTCGGTCGTTGCATTCTTTGTTTTGGACTAGGATAAGTTTGGCATTCATTACCCCAACGATTCTTATCGCAAAAAATGCAAGGTCTTTGAATTTTACTAACTTTCTTCATATTCATAACCTTCTTCATATTTTTAGCTTTTGTATATGTTTCCGGAGTCGTTATGGTTAGAGCCGAAGTTTCTTTTGGAAAATGTCGTGAATTAATTTTACCTTTAGTTAATTTTTACTCCTTCACAATGTCGAGATATTGGCTTCCTGCAACTTCGTTTCTTTGAATCAGTTTCGCTAAGAATTGTCCTAACTTAGCGATTGACCATATTTCTCGTTTCTCCTTTTGTTGACACACTCTGTCCAGAATCCAGGTGGGTAGTTTATTTTCAATGATATTTTCGATACTGGATTGTTCAAGCTTTTCGCCCATTGCTTCATGTTGTCTTTCGATGGCTTCGATTGTTACTTTCCATTCACGATCATTCTTCTTGATGGAATGTAACTCATTGTAGAGCAATTTTTTGATGATGTGCGATTGTCCAAACTTTCCAATAAGGACTTTTCGTGTGACATCATAATTTTCTAGGATTATGTCATAAATCTTTATGGCTAGCAAAGCGTCCCTTTGAGATATTCCATTAAATAATTTAATTTGTGGATACCTGGTATGTTTTATAAGTGAACTGCTGCTTCGAAGCTACTCCAGAATCCTCACCATGGCTTGGATTACCACTGAATGTAGGTTTAAGTTTTTCTTTTGCCGGTTGCGCGTTTAGAATTATAGTTGCGGACATCGCTTGTGGCACCAAATTTGTAGGAAAATTGAAATAAAACTTTTTTGTTTATCGGATTTGATTTGAAAGGGTGGGTTCTTAGGCACAGACGAATATTTTGAGAAGGTATTCTTCGTTCGGTTCAGGAGGAAATCATTCGCAGAGGATAATAGATTGTAAGAACGCAGAGTTAGTAATAAAAATATTTATTGGGGAGAATCGAGGATATAGTGTAAGTACAGTCCTTGATTGATTGTTTTAAAAACCAACAACAATCTTTCTAGTAATATTCTTGAATACATATACAATTTTGATTAACACAAACATATTTAATGAGAGTGGTTTATAACAAATATTACAATAGATATTCCTTTGGATAAAGAAAAACTGTCAAAATCCGATTACAACAAAGGGCTCTGTTTGCAACATTAAACATTGCAATTAAGATTGGTTCTCAGACAAAGAAATTTAGCATATGAGTTGGCTTTATTGCAAAAAAGGAAAGGATGTGAACGAAGAAAAACGCATGAATATGGAGAATATGAAATTAGTTACATTTCATAACATTGTTAACGTTTATTTACAATTTGTGTGATTGATTTGTACATTAGTTTATTTTATTA